AGTCAGTTGGAGGTACCCCCTCGCAATTTCGCACGTGCAAGGCCCACCCTCTCGCTCGCGCATATTTACGTCTGGACAACGAGTTGCGGGGAAAAGTGCTGATTGTGTTGCAGTTTTAGGAGCCGGTGATTAGGCTGGATTTTTGGGTTACTTTTTCGTTCCGATTCATGTATTTCATAGTGTTTGGCTTTTGAATATTTTAGTTCTTTCAGATAAATATTACTCGCCTTACAACTTTTGTAAAAACGTTTCATTTTTTATAAGCCGACGTTCAGAGTCCTAAAAATACACCAGCACTACAATCATTGTAAACCTTGTTGTAAACAAACAAATGGAGCACACAACCTGGCTCTGTTCCAAGGCCAGTTTTTGTACGTCGTTTTGTTGGATGTTTTGAATCCCTTGAGATTGACTTATATCATATTTAAGAAGCATGTTGACTGAAAACAATCTGAAGTATCCAGGAGGCTGACAGAGGTCCTGACTACTGAGCAATATCAATATCAAGTTGAACAAGTTGTGAAATTTTGGTTGATAAACGCAAGTTGATCGGGCTCATATATAAGCAAGAAAAAGTAAAATTAAAAGAGCTTATTGTCCAAAAACAAGCTATAATATTGCAGACCTTGGAGCAATACTGAAGAGCACGCTGAGCAGGATCATGCCAGAAAATGTTGACTGATGAGCGCATATTGATGTATTGGTATGAATAATGAATGGTAACTTACAGCAGCAAGATAAATTAGTGCTAACTATCAAGTTAAAATCTAGAATGAATGGACTTGGGCAGTTTTACTATGCTTACTATATTTAGATGCTATGCAGATTGTAATGTGCATCGGTACTCAGTGTCTGGCAAATGAAACATGCAATCATTCCATTGCTACTGGAGGAGAAAGCTTGGATCACTAAATCCACTTTATGTTGATTTTGATGTTAATCATCATCACTGTATTTCTTTAAAAAAGGATTGTAGTAAAATTGTCAATGTGACAATACATGCAATGATGTGATCATATTATGTGTTCATAGTCATTCGTAATAGTCATTATTGGTCCAATATACAATGGCAAAGCTCTCAGTCTCAGCGTTTCTTCCTGTGGATGGCCAGCAATGACTCAGAGCTTAGAAGTATTAGGTTTCTTCACAGGGCTGGAATAAAAAGTACTGAGGGTAATCTTCTTCCACCAAGGAACTCTACTTTGACATGGTATGAGATGTAGGCACAAGTAGGTAGGTGCTCAGTTCCTATAGTCAGTAGTTGACAGTTGTGTATGTTTAGTCGGGTTAGCTTAGATCAGATTGTTAGTTTTTTAATTTGCCAAATGTCCATAAAAATGTGACCTGAGCAATGAGCATACCTGAACCTGACTAACCCGACGGCTGACCTAACCTCAATCATCACACATATTTGCATCCTACCCAAGACCTGCATGGCAGTAGCACCCAGTTATAGGTAGGTACTCACCCTAACTCAATCTTACCTGCTAACCTTCAACTTGCCAAAAGTTAGCTCACATTGCCAAGCTGTGCCCAGGGAAACAGTCAACTGAGGAACTGGCTCATTGGGTGGCTGGTGTGAGTCTGTGCATTTAAAGTGTTTCTTCTCTGAAGCTGCTCTGCACTGCTGTATGCCATGTTAGATGCTCAGAAAATGTGGGAAATGATTACTAAGCTACTTAAGTGCTTTGTTAATGCTCGAGACATGAACAAGTACAGATCCTGCAGGGTACAGCTATGAGTTAGGTGCTAGGTGAGTAGAGTATGTTATGTGAATGTGCTGTTCCCTGTTTGACCGTAAGTATACAAACAAGCACAGGGTCACAGTTATATTCAATCTCCACATAAACATACAACAAAAACGGCCATATAGCCTAACTCCGAACACACCACAGATAACTTAATTGCCTTTGAAGGCACAAAATGTTTTGATTAACAGGACAGGTTTACAATATATCCTCTGTCCTAGGGGGATCTTGCTGCCAAGTTGAGGTATGATGACTGAACTTCAGGATTGATCAACCTTTTCTTAGCCACTGCTTATATACGAGAAAGACCAAATGCTTGTTTGTTTTGATTTACAGGACATGTATACAATATATCCTTTGTCCTTGGGGGATCTTGCTGCCAAGTTGAGGTACGATGAATGAACTTCAGGATTGATCAACCTTTTCTTAGCCACTGCTTATAAACGAGAAAGACCAAATGCTTGTTTGTAAACTGCGTTGAAAATTTAATGATCCACCTTCAATTCTGACATGAAGGCACAAATGAAATAGTTCCCTCTCCTTTTGGAATACACAAAGCAAAATATTTGATAAATTTTAGTGGATGGACAAGAGCAATTCAAATTAGCATAGCTTTCCCTCAAGTTCACTTCTGGCACTGTTGATGAATTACAACTGACGCTTATTCGCTTCATATTTTGTAACAAACGCGCTAAAACTGCAATATAACAGCACTATATCCTTCTTGACAAAATGTATTAAAAATTTAGCCCTGATGGCATTCGTTCTTGGTGAAAACGTAATTACAAAATATTTTGTAGTAACTATTAAATTCCGGCCGAAAACAGTGCACGGTTTAAAAAAGAATCATTCCAATGACGGTCCATTCTTGCGGTCCTGAAATCGCCACTATTTCCGGCCTCTCCAACGCAACTCGTTGTCCAGACGTAAATATGCCTCGCTCGCTCCGTTAGTCGCCCCAAAAGGCGTTATACTGGTATCTATATGCCTCCCATGAGCTTGCCCTGACAAAAATGTGCTCGTGATCTCGGGAATATAATATTGACGAGCCATGTCTGTTTTTGCAGGTGGGAGGGATTGGTTCGATACAGGTGGTGGCTGCGTCCGTCCAGGCCAGCTCTGGACCCTGACTGGAATAGTGGTGCGATCAATGCTGCACACGGCACCGGACGCACACACACACATACTGGCATACACCTTATCATGCTCACGCACATACAAGTAGATAGGTGTCTGAATTAACTTACAGTTAGTTCAGGAGAGTATGATTACAGACAACGCAAAAGCTATTCTGGGTATTAATTTACAGTTCATTTAGGAAACGGTCAATGCTACTGAGTTTGATTTTATCCCTTTTCGCAGACTCAATCTGCCATTCCCTTACAGCTAGATTTTAGCCAGTGCCAAGCTCGGTAGTCGCCAGGACCCGTCTTGAGCGGGAGCTATTACCGCAGTATCCCGTGAGTAGACCGGTTCTCAACACCGCTCGGCCAGGCGGAGGTCCAAGTGACCCCCGATTGACGACCCATTGGACTCGGCCTCCACCGGGGTGAGTATGCAATCGCTGACGGTAAATAAGCCTGAGTGCCAGCTGACCAGACCAGATTATGGAAAGAAGTTAAATGCAGCTGTAGTGAAAAATATGCATGTCATCGTCGACGAGCTTGTTACAATGTTACATTTTGCTCGTTAATGTCATACATATATGAAATAGAATATGTACTATGTGAACAAATTTCCAGGTACATGATAATATGTTACATATAGGTAAGAAATACGTATAGAGTGCAAGTATTGAAGGAGCATCCCATTTGCAAGTTGCAACACAGATACTTCAACGTATCCCAATATCACATATGACAAGCAAACAACCACCACAAGATCCCACACCTGTTGGACGTCAATATCTGTGACATTTGCCGTCCAAACACGACGTATCTGTGGCTCCCAGTGTCTGGGGGAGGCTCGGGCGGGCGCCACATGTCCATCACAGCATGTCCCAGGCCGGTGCCGCGGTCGGTCGGCTCAGTTTGGTCCGGTCCGGACCGAACACTTGTGCACCTTCTGTGTCCTAGAGTGAACAACAGCTGCGTGGCGGGCCACTCATCCAACCACCACTTCCTACGACAGTCTTCAGTGGGATGGGCCCCGTGCTGTCAGGTCATAGCGAATGATTCATTGTGAAGCTACTGAGAGCGTTATTCAATGCAGATGCTATTTTCATGCTGCAAAAGTACATACAAATTTACCAAAGACTTCCGTAGCTCCATATATGCTCGGATTAGTAAGGCGGCAACATTTATTAAATGCATACGTTGTTTATTTTACGCTTAAACTTTTGTAAAACTCATGCGGTGATCCTCATTTATATAACATTGTTTGCCATCGTGCACTGCTGTGCCATATCTGCCGCATGCTTATTGGCTTCACTACACTACTTCATTGTGTCGGTGGGGAGAGCTGTCGGAGTTCAGCGTATTGCTTGCTGACACAAGGCAATTCAGCTGGATTTGTCTATGAAAGGAACGATTTCCCAGCACTGAGAGAAATGGAACTCAATGCTCTGTCCTAGAGCATTGCTCTTAACTTGAAGTGAATGGGTGACTTGAACTTCGACAAACCCTGCCGGCTCATTAAATGAACGAAAGTTAAAAAAATGCATAAGAAAGAAAAAAATATTCAAGAAACAGTTCAACAATCGATAGTTGATCAAAGGAACGTGCTTAATCCAGTGATGATTCGAATGTCAAAGCATCAGCTTTAGTAAAATGCAGTCAAATCGAAACGTCACTAATATATTGTTTTCTTGGACGCAATGTTTTTTTTTCAGCCACAGCCAAATATTGATGAACACCCTACGTTTCCACTAGGGGCAGGGCAGACGGCAGTCATGCGCACAGCTGGGCTTCTTCAGTCGCCTCACTAAGAAACACTTGTGGAAGCACGCTGCGAATGGTAATTAAAGCTTGAAGTTTGGCATGTGGTCAGTTGGACAGTTCAGGATAGACTTCAGGGCACGGACAGCCGAAGTTGACACTTCGGTGTAGCTCGACATTCTGTCAGTCAACCACAACCCACGGTCTTTATTCAATAGAGACACTGCATATCTGTCGGCTGATTGGCGTATTTAATATCTGGTCTTCCAGAAAGCTCACTCTTTTGATTGGCGCACGCATATGACAGCCTTATTATTTTTACTTACATATGTACGTAAAGCAGTCTGCAGCATCATGCGACCGCTATGGGCCTTACCTCGAGCGAGTCATTGGTGATGATGTGCGTTAGCGAAGAGCTCACACCCTGGTCCAGTGAGCCGTACTTTTTCTTCTTGGTCTTGGAGTCGACCGCGCCCAGTTCGTATTTCTCTGAACGGCTCATGACGTCTCGGTGCTAGCACACCTGAAGTGACAGGACACAGGCAATGTTGAACGCATCCCAGCATGAATCTATCAATCGATTGAATTAAGCAGTTATACTTTTCGCTGTGACATTAAACGGTTATAATGTCTGTCTGAAATGATATGCTATGGCTCTTTGAGCGGACACCGGACACTAAGTAGTGAACAATAAACATACCTGCAGAGGAAAATGCCTAGCTTTTCGGAAAAGTATAGAGTCAATTTTAAACTTCTCTAATGTTTTGTACGACTCATGACTCTGCTAAGGTCAAATAATCGGTTATGCACCGGTGCAGGAACCAATCAAAACTCTCATCACGGGGCATAATGGGCTAGGGATTGATGAATTACGTAAAGGGATGATGAAATGGGTGATTGAGGCAAAGATGAAAAGTAGATCATGAGATTGTTGATAACCTTCTGAATCGATGTGATAAATGATCATAATCATCCTCTGCGATAGCTTATCCCACAGTAATAATGCATCACCCTAATAACAAGGCTGGCTGCCTTAAGCTGACAGACGGCACACCTTGAAAATTAAAATGAATAAGGAGGTGTATTGGCTCAGCTTGATTTACATAGAATAATGCGGCTTTGTAGGTAGGCGAGCAAAGGCACGAAATGGTTTAAAAATCAGAACAAAATTACAATGGAAGTACGTATATCTGGTGTGGGAACTGTGCAGTCTGTGCAGTGTGCGTGTGTCGTAGCAAATTACCTGTATGTTACATATAATCCGACTTCTTAATAAAACTTATGCAGAGGATAGCAGCAGAGATATGATATCTTGGCTGCCCTGTGGACGTTAGCATCCTGACTCTTTTCTCCATCACTGCGTCATTCAAACGCACATCGTTGCTGTATTTTTCCCCATTAATGGCACATTTAGTAATAAAGCTATTTAAATGCATTAAACTGCAAAGTTCAACCGCCATAAGCACCAGTTTCATATCCTAAAGCGAAAAAGAAAGCACAGTCTACTCAAAATTCCTTTGACGATCACAAATGTGACAAACGCGCAATAAATGTCAACAGGTAAAACTGAAAGGTGCCGGGAGATTTGCAAAGGAAAATGGAGGTTGTTATGACAACACACAATGTATATATGCACCGCTATTCCGGAACATCCTTTTTCACCAACGTTGTTTTATGAATCCATGCCAAATCTCTTTTGGAAACATCAAGCATAGCGAAGGAAAGTGGGCCCTTAAATTCTTAGACCTAAAATAAATTTGTAAATGCCTTAACCAAATACGAAGGGCGCAAACAAAGAACCCAAAACACAACTAACTTATTTCAGGCTGAGTTGTTTCAAGCTGCCAAACAGTTGAAATCCTCATTGCTTACATAAAAAACGCGATATATAGATGTTTTTTTCCCTAAATCAAAAGCTGGGATTTAAAACCACGAGTTGGGTCAAGATCTGTCTAGAGCTTCAACATAAAGAATTTGGTGGGAATCGTTGGCCTACTGGAGATCCCACCCTGGGACGGATGAAGGAGATGATTAAGTTCCATGCTAGGATGTTCCACTTCTGCATAATACATAACTAAATAAAAGAATGGAAATGAAATGTGATGAATGTATAAAACTTGGATTGATTGAACTACCCAAGTTGCGATTCTCACCGCTAGATGACTTTGGCTAGAAATTCGCTGAGGTAACTCTGCAGTCTGTTTCCACGTGCGAGTTTTATTGTTAAATGTTTTCCTTCATTCTTAACAGTTATTTCTGGATTTTCCGGTGATATGTTGATTGCTCTCGTTTCGCACTTCAAGAAGCACAACCATGTGCTTCTTATCCTTGGTGTAGGTATCTCATTCGGCACCGTCGCTTCTTTCCGACGTTCAGGCGTGCTGCCCGGAGGTCATTTAGTCCGCAGTGCGTCAAAGCTCAGTGTCGACGACAGGCCGGCGTTTTATGACCGGTCCAGACGCCCGCTGTGAGCCAAACGAGCTGTGGGGAGCTCCTCAGAACCGCCCTCTCGACACGCATGGCTCACAAGGACGGGACGGTGACCTTTAATATGTCGGAGGTGCACACAGGAGGGAGGGGAGGATACCGTTAGGTACGCGCTGGTGTGTGTGTTTACCGCCCACTCATGCTCCAGGCTGCCGCGAGGTGACCCCTCCGCCAGTCCGCTATCGACCTGGCCTGAATGATGTATGACATGGTCCAGACGGAAACCAACGAGGTGGACACGAACTGCTGAGGTCACTGAGGCGACGTCGTTTACCGTAAACGCCCGTTTACCCACTCTGTAATGTACACCAAATAGCGTAATGCTTTTAATCGGAACGTAAATAAAACTTGAATGCCTTAATCAGTATGCAGGCTGTCTGCCGACAGCCCTGCCTATCTATTATCCGATCCTGCCAATTCTTTGCCGACTGGCTTTGTTCCAGGACGTCTCACCACTTCCGTTAACCTGACGCCATCTCCGGATGGCCAGTGGAATGCGGTGGCCGCAGATAGCATTAGCCCTGCGGCGCTTGAGATTGTGGTCACGAGTGGTCCCAGGGCGCCACTCGACTCAGCGATCGACGCCCCCGGTGCAGTGGTCTCCGCGGCGCCCCCGCCCACGGCGCCCCTACGGCGCCCTCAGCAGTGACCCTTGAGGAATTGTGAATTCAAGGGAGGAAAAGAACTCGTCCCTTCCCTAAAACGGTACACATTTTCAACAAGACGCTCATGAAGTTGTGCAATGTGTAATGCGCACGAAAAACAAGAGTTTGTTCTGCCAAAGTGATCTAGACTTCCGCCTGTGCATTGATGTGTCCCTGGAGGCGCCAGCCGAGGGAAGTGAGTTACATATGCCCCGCCTTTTCTTATAACTAAAACAACACCAAACTGGATAGCAGTAAGAAGCTTGGAACTCTTACATTCACCGTCAGGCCAAGCTTGTTGCCATTTACCCATAATAAGAAGGGTATTTTCCCATCTGGGTGCTCCCAGGTCACTAACGGGACATTTTTACGGATAAGTCACGGTCGTTTGGCTGACCTTTGCCTGCGCTGTGGACGCCGTCAATAATTTCATGCTCATCGGCTTGTTGAGGTCACCACGCCATCAGGACGTGATGGCCCATAGTATGACATAAATGAAGGGCACAGAACCCACCAGTGAACCAGATACGAAAGGAGCCTTATATAATGCTGTATATGACGAGCTAGGAAGGCACTAGCAAAAGTTTAAAAGGAACTGTGTCTCTCGTATGACAGAAAGGACAGTACTGTATCCTCTAGTGAAGTGGTTAAAGGGAACAGTGCCGTTGGTGCAGCACAGGCAAATTGGCTATAGTGACAGAATGCTTACGACCAGAGGCTCCGGCAACCGGTAAAATACGGGCAGCTTACATAGATGGCGGAATGGATTGCGTATCGAAGCGTGCCATGGTATCCAGCGCCTCTGCTTTTCGAGCCTTCGAATCTGCTCAGAACTTTGAATAGCTATTGTTATTCCAAATACTAACGCGCTTTTTATTCAGATATTCAGATATTTTTTATTCAGATCTGTTTGGCATCAGAAACATTCCTCCATCTCTTAACATTTACCACGGGCGAAACCATAAAGCGAATAACGTCTCACTTCAGGGCATGCCTAATGCCTAATACCTTTATCAAACGACATGAGGCAGACCCACCAAATCGACCCATATCTACCCACTGCCGCCCTGATTGCAACTGAAAATGAAATTATAGTCTTTGTCCACTGTGCTAGCCCTGGCTGAATATTCCCACATTACAGCCTTCGGAGCTGGTCCCAACTTTAAATGGCTCCACGTATATTTAGAAAAGGAATTATATCACATATACCTTAGCTACCTGAGATCGATGGTAGCTCCACAAACGTCGCCCCTATCGATTCTGGTGGCGGCCCATAAGGGAGGTGCTCAGGACGCCACCCATTTGCATAGAGCGCCGATGCGGGCCGGACAGAGAAGGGTCGGATTGGACGCCTCTGCCGTCATCGCCGTCCTCCCTGGTGCTGGCTGCTGTGGTGGAGGAGACTGGTTGAGGAGGTTGTTCTGAGTGTTTGTGCATGTGGGGCTTTGTAAACACGTGTGAAAGAAGCAGCTGCGCGGAGTCGATCGTATACAATTGCAGCTGTTCGTGGCCATCGTTTCATGTTCAAGGTGAGGTCTAATAACTTCTCTATGTTAACAAAGAAAGGGCATGAACTCAAGGTTTGGTATTGAAAAGGATTAGATTAATATTTTGAATGGTTTGGGCGTATAAAAACCTCCTGGTCCACCTCACTTATGTCCACGATGCGTTCATAGATGATTACGCTTACCATTACGGCAATGTCATGCATCTTCGCATGGCTCAAGACGCGCTGCTGCTTATATAGTTAGAAGCAACAGTCGACAACCATGGCAACAGTGCTCTGTCATTTGTTACACGCACATATTTCTATCACTAATTCATATTATAGCCTCAGCATTTTACAGACTACAGCGCACATAAGGCCATCAGCTTTAACCAATATTTGTAGTTCATGGCCACCTCAGCGGCTAAAACCGACGAGTTACGATGTCTGCCTTCAATCCCGCCCCGACCACGAGTTATGGTGTGTATAGTGCAACGCGACCTCTATCTCCCAGTGCACCTCAGCTCCACCCCTATCATCTGCGGCTTATGACGCCTCAGCCTCGTCCGACAGCCGCCTCACGGCGAGTCTCACCTGATCAACAGCCCAGACATTCCCGTCGTGTCGGCCGAGCCTGCCCGCCGGCCACCGCACCGCCGCCGTCCGCTCCTGCCCTGGCGCACGCTTAGTCGATACTGACGCATCGACGACTATACCGACGGTCCCCGGCCGGCCGGGGCGGCGACGGGGCCGACGGGGGCGGGGCGGGTCCTCGGCCGCCGCCGTCGTCGTCACCCGGGGCGTTATCGTCGGAGGGGAGGGGAGGAGACAGGGGCAGGGCGGTCATTAGCTCATGCACCCAAGGGCACATCCGCCCTCTGATGCGCGTGGAGGATTGTTATTTCAGAAAGCGATTTTTCGGATGTTTTCCGTACCGGAAAAAGAGTCATTGAGAGAATTTATTTTTTAACAGATATAATCAAGTAAAAAATAGTCACGGGTTTTGACTTACCACATTTGCTTTATGTTACTTGTGTTCACTGGTACGAGCAGACAAATGTATCATAAAAAAACAATGCACATTATACATCTTTGTGTGGTCAGGGTAGATCACTAGTTAACCCGCGACCGCCTGGGGGGGGGGGGGGTCGGATCCGACCCCCCCCCCCTCCGTTTTTCTTGAATAACTCATGAACCGCTTGCGCTATCAACTTGAAACTTCGCATACCTTCTCCCCCATCAATTTGACGTCTCCTGTGCAATTTTTAAGAAAAAATTTTAAAAAATTTCTGAGATATATCGATTTTAGTGATGTAACTACATGGCGTTTTCAGTCAAAAAATGGTAAATGTTTGAAAAATCGCCAAAAATCGAGGTTTTAAGCAAATTGCAAATTAAGGACATGAAAAGACGCAGCTCAACGAGTTCTTTAAAATGGCTATCTCGGATTTTCCATAAAATGCGTTTTTCACCCCTAAAAATTCAAAAAACTATATTTTTTGGAAAACAGCTAATAAAATCCAAAATTTTGAGAATTTCCAAAAAACCGGAATATATGTTATAGAGCTCTATTAGAACATTAGATGTCCCAAATTTCAACTTTCTATCTTGATTTTTGACCCCCAAATTGTAAAAAATAGCTCCAACATGCATAGGGCATGGTGACGTCATCAGCATTTTCGCGAATTAGAGGCACTTCTGAACATCGCATGTGAAAAACAAATGGCACCACTAGATTCCTGGGACAAAGCTGGTCTAGAAAAGTGCATTTTTATGTCAAAAATAAAAAGTTGAAAAATTGACTTTTTTTCTTAGCCCTCGTTTAGTTATGTATGGTATAAACGATTTTTTATGCTTTCAATGCACACTTATCACCAGCACAGTGACTTGGGGTCACATATA